CCCCCCGCAGAGAAAGTGCCCTTCTCCTAAATGGTTGGAAGGGCCTCATTCTAATAGGTTAGAAGGGTTTTGTTCTGATTGGTCAATATCCACAGGCAATTCAGGAAGCTCATTGGTGCTTTTTGGAGCCGGGGTCCTCCGTTTAAAGTCGGCTTGTATATAAGGCTGCATTCTGGCCCTGTTGTAGTTCTGCTCTGGAGGAGAGACAGTTTTACAGTAGCAGGCAGCAACAAATGCCTCAGGTACACAGTGGGACTTGTTCTCACTATGAGGGTTTTTCCCTCCAAAAAAGAACCATGTCTGTGGATACTGGGAAACTCATCTGTGGACTGACACTTTCTTAAAGAGTGGCTTGAAAGGCTGTTGTTTTTCCCGGGGTATGTGTTGTGATTCTTTTCTCTGTTCTAAAAGCCTGTTGTATTCATTTATTGACCCAAGGAAACCATGTGGTACGAGAAGGAACACAGTATAAAGCAAATAAAAATGGAGCTACTGTAGTTAAAGTCAGGGCTGGAAATTTCAAAAGCTGTCACACCATTTTCCTCTAGGTAGCTCAAAGGACCTTCTTACATTCTGAGGAGTACAGTCTTAAAAGTATGGTACTGGAACGCCTGGGTGGCTCAGCTGGTTGAGCTTGGACTCTTGCTTTCAGCCCAGGTCACGATCCCAGGGTCCTGGGATCCAACCTTGCAGCGGGCTCTGCTTTCAACCCGAAGCCTGCTTGAGATGCTTTCTCTCTTCCTCTGCCCCTCCCCCACTTGCTCGCCCGCTCTTTCTTTCTCTCTCTCAAAATACATAATTAAGATAAATAAAATAATTATAGATACCGTCTCCCAAAGACTTAAGTCCTTTGTACCTACAGAGCATTTGTATAGATACCTTGAGGCACACAAAGACCCGGGAAAAACCTACACACATACCTATCACCTCAAAGTGGCTCACATGCAACTTTATACCTTTAACATGGACCCTTTCGGAGCTCCATCTTTGGCATATTCCCACCATGCTCAGAGTACTTTCCCTAAACCTGAAGTAGGTTAAAAAAAAAAAAAGATAAATACAAATTTTAAAGCAGTTATAGTTCTGTGTGATAAATGCAAAAAATGAATGTGTAAAGATAATCTATGTCTACATTTAAAAGAAGGCTTGAAATTATCTTCCTGCATGGAGTCAGGAAAAACTGACCTAGATAATCTGTGTAAGACAGATGAATTCAGCAGCAAAGTCTCTTGGGTGGTACTATAATCTACCCACAGCTTCATGACTGATTGGATTAAGCTTTAATAGGTCAGAAAATTTCCTTGTACTTACAGTATAGCATAATGGATATGATTTATTGTTAACTATTATTTATATTAGATTAAAGCCTTGTGTGTGTGTGTGTATATATGTGTGGTTTTAAATAGGTATGTCAAAACTTGAAGCTAATATTTGGTTTGTATCCACATTAGGATTTCTAATATAGGGACGTCATGACCTCTATTTCTGTTATTTCCCTGTCCTGAACTGGCCATTTTTCAAAGCCTGGCCTGCCTGCAGTTTACCTTTCTCTGAAGAAGGCTACTTCCCTTTAGGGAAGGCTCTCAGAATCCCCTGACCCACACAGAGTGTTTGAGGAACGTGGAAACATTCATCCATCCAGTCCAATCATATAAATAAGGTGAGAAATAGGGCAAAACAGTTGTTACTGTTCGTTGCCTCTCAGATATGAGAGTAGCCCTTCCAAATTAAATTTACCTTACATAAATTCAAACATAAAAGACTCAAATATTGTCTGTGTGACTATAACCTGTCTATATGTCAGTCCAGGCAGCCAATTACGGGCTTCCTGTACAAATTAAGGCAAAAAGCTGAAATAAGACGAATAACCAAAACCAAACACCAAACCAAAATAAAACTGTATGGTATTCCAGGAAGCAAATAAAGGCTTCTTGTGCTCATAAAGGCAAACAGCTAAAATAAAATAAACAAACTCGACAACTGTCTTAAAATCTGAAGGAACAAAGGAATTCCTGTTTTTTTATTTTTGTTTTTGTTTTTGTTTTTGTTTTTTTGAACAACCATTTACTTCTGTCTCATATTTACCCTAAGGAACAGATATGTTAGGGGTAATAGTAATCCAGAAATTTCAGATGTTGGCTCTGAGAATGCTTTGTAAGCATAACTTGGTACACGATAGCAAGGGTTTTCACGTGTAGTCTAGCCTTTAGACAGCTCTAGGATGGAATAGGGCATCCTTGCTGCATATATGAGCATTTGGTAATAGAAAGAGATGGGGGAGGGGGAGAGGGAGAGAAAGAGCAAAGGAGGAACATGAGTGGAACAGGGGCAGAGAGCACAGAGCCAGATGGGGCTCCATCTCACATGAGATCATGACCTGAGCCTAAACCGAGTCAGATATTTAACTGACTGAGTCATCTTGGTGCCCCATGGCAGACATATTTTGAAAGAGATTTTTTCTGCATCTCTCAGATTACTCCTTACATAAGATTGTGCACTTTGGAATATGGGTGCATAATATAAAAATTTTCTACCTGTTTAGTTTTTCTTTGATGCTTTAGATGAATATTGACTCATGTTGTTAAATATCTACTTTCCTCCCCTTTTCTTTTTATTAACAAACATTTCTTGAGCCCTTTCTATTCACAGGACACGAGTATAAAAGTAAAGATACAAAATGACTCTTGCTTTCTAGCTATAATCTAAATATCATATGTTAAGTCTCAAAAGAAAGATCTGAAAAAAATGATATGACATTTCAGAGAATAAAGTTAGATAAGAACTGGACTTTTTAAAAGTTTTATTTTATTTTATTTTGTGGACAATGAGGCATTTCTGAAATCTTTTGAGTAGGTAGATAGATTGACCTGGTTTATTTTCCGAATTGGCTTTATAAAATAAAGGAGAGGAGGAAGAGGAAGAGAGTTCTGAATAGTGTAATTGTCCCGAGGTAATTTCTATAGGACAAATAAATTGTAAATAATAGAATGCCTGTGTGAATAAAGGGTTTGAGACTTGAAGTCATATTTGTATGAATAGATTAGTATTTCTCCACATTTGATCACAAAGCCTACTTTTGATGAAGGATGTTATTCAAAATATTTCATAGCTGGTATGACACAGGACTTATGACAAGTATGATAGGACTTTAACAATCAGAATAGGGAACTAGCGAATCAAAATAGGCCAGGGCCTATATATACAATTAATAAATGTGACCAATCTGGTATGTACTGGCTGATTGTCAGATCTGCCTTTCTCTCTGGTTACAGAGTAATGGCTCTTATGAGTCAAAAAGGAGTCTACTTCTTAAACACGTGTCATGTATTAAGTAAGAATTTATCTTTTCTAATTTCTTAATTTAATAATAAACTTCTATAACTTATAGTAGCTGAAGAGCAGCATAACATACAAATTGGTATAATTTTGGCATCTGTCTATAACACTTGGCTGTCACTTTGCTATATGGTCTTATATCAGGCAAATGTATAGTTTCCATTTGGCATTTTGAAATATTAAAATATTTACCTAACTTTATAAAATTCCGAGGGGAGAGGTGCCCCGCTGTCTTCAATTAATAGTGTTGATTTAAATCACGTACCTCATAGCTTGGAGATATTTTAAAATCTCTCTCTGTCTCTCTCTCTCTGTCTCTCTCTCTCACACACACATACACATACACACACTACACGAATGTCTTCATAACTGACACAGTCTTTAGTTGTCAAATTCTCTACGACTCTTTTTTGTTTTACACATTTATATTATTTTACTCACCTGGGCCCCAAAGGCAAATGCATTTGTAATTCTTGATATAGATATTTTTGTTTTTAGAAACATAATTTTGTTCATTGCATGATCCAATTCCACTTGTCGTGAATCATACTGTGATTGGGTTTTTTGCATTTCTGAAGTAGCTCCATCTCTTGAAGCACTGTCCACTCAGAAGATTTTACTATTTATATTTGGCAGCTTCTGCTTGGGCTGAATTCACCTTGACCTTCATTTCAGTTCGAAACTTTCTAACTCCTTCACATTCTACTCTTGACCTTCAGAATTATTTTGAAAATCACAGTTGACTTTTTATAGTATGTAAAACTTCTCTTTTTGGTTTTTGTTTTGATTCTTTTCTCTACTTACATCCCCTGCTCCTCCTCTGAAACCAGTTCTCTCAAAACTACAGGTCTAAAAGCCCCACCGAAAACAAGATGTGTGATCTTGAGCACTTCATGATGGTGCCCTTGGCCCATATGCTTGCCAGGACCAACGGGAAACATTTTTGTGCCACCTTGGTTTGCTTGATAACTTCCTGTCCTTTCTATGACTCCCCCAGGACCACATGCTGATGCTGCAGAAAGGTCCAGTCTAAGATAAGGTCAACGTTGAGCTCTAAATGTGCTGGTCTTCTCCTCCCACTGTTCCTTGTAAGATGATGGATAATTTTAGTCAGGACAAAGTAGTAGAAGGGCAACCAGAAGAATGCTGAATGGTTATCCCACTGGCAGATATAACGTCTTTTTGATGAACATTAATGAGCTAGGGTGTACTTTGGGGAAAGTACATTACAAGGACTTTGTACGAGAATATTATGACTGGACTCTGTAATTCTTGCTTATATCCACAAGAACTGAATGTCCGCATATCTTGACTTTGACTTTGCACTGCCCAATATGAAATAGGAGAATGGGTGGGTAACAAATGGCAGAACTTGGGGAAAATGTTCTGTCTTCCTTTTAAAATAAAGGCAGATGTGTTTTTTTTTTTTTTTTTTTTTTTTAACACAACTTGCGGTAGTTCGTAAAAGCTCTGGCTTTTTGAAAGAGAAAAAAAATAAGTTTTTTTTTTTTAAGTGGTAAACCTAACTGTAGTTTCTCCCAGGCGCTTAAAGAAAAAAAGCATTGAGAAATGGGAGTCAACTGCAAGATAGGGTTTGTGTAACAAGTACCTAAAACCACAGAAGTCACATGGGACCTTTCTGCTTTGCTACTTTTGATTACTTGTCAGAGGGTTATACTTTTAGCTTCCCCCATCCTGCAAGGCCACTCAACCATGTGCTAGAGGGAGAAATCTTTATTCACCATGTCTTTACAAAGGCTTCTGCAACAGAGTAGCAATGGCAATTTGGTGGACTATTGTGCTAGTGCATCTTATAGCTCTTACTCCACACTCACAGGCAGCTTCCGAATGGATGATAATAGAAGGATTCAAATGCTGGCAGACACAGTGGCTACTTTGCCTCGGGGGAGAAAGCAGGTATGGTTACTATTTTGTACTTTGAGAATTTTCCTGTTCTCACGGGAGTAGAGTGATATGTTTATCTGACTTTGCACTGAACTTGTGTTTTAGAGGCTTGGAATTAATCCCTGAGAGTATGGGTGAGGATGGAAACAAGTAGCTCAGGGAGCTCACGGACTAGTCCAAAAGATTTAAGATCATAATAAAATATTATTTTCAAGGCAAAACTTAAAAGAAGATTGTTTTCTCATTTGAAGAGGTGTTCAGGTAAAATGAAAATCGTTAAGTGCATCAAACTTAGATAGTACATGTATACATGGCTAGTTTGACAATTATTGATCTTTTCCCCCAGTATGTGTCCCATTGATTCTTTCCCTCCCAGCCTCACTGTATGATAGTCATTTCCAATGAAACGAGAGTACTTTTTCTTCAGGACAGACTTTGTTGACTGACTTTTATTTTCAGTGCTGGGGCACAGGTACATAACTATTGCTATTGGGAATTAAGGCTTTTATTGGATAATTGAATGACAGATTGAATAAGAGCTCAGCTATTTACTGCTGGTGGGATCTTGGGCAAGTCACTTGACTCCCTAAGACTTAGTTTTCTTTCTTCTGTAATGGAGATAATAATGAAACCACCCTAAGGGGCTCTTCTTGGGCCTAAGTGAAGAAAATGTGCAGTGCCTAACACAGCACCTGACGTGAAGTTGGTGCTCAAATGTTATGTTATCATTTTTATTTTTATTGTAAGGGATTCCCCTAGAGATGAAAGTCACTTAGACAAATCCATGTCCAGCTGAGTTTTGTTTTAGTTTCTTTGATTCTACAATTTCTAATTTTTTTAAGTAATAATTGTTTAACCATAACACCTCTTCAGGTTTTGGTTATAGAACTTACAATCATGCTCCAAGTACATATCTGAATTTAGCATTGGAGTTGCTTTAAGGCATTAATTTTTGCCTTTAATTCCTCCATGTACATCATGTGCTTCTTTAAAACCTTCTAATTTCAGGATTAGAGAGTTAGAGCATAGTGGGGGAGTCCTGATCTTTTCTCAATAATGTATATAGTTGATTCCTTGTTATTTTTCACAGTGAAGATAAGGGCATAATTTGCCATGGTTGGGATTTTAATCTTTTTTAATGTAAAAGTGCTTTTATGATAATAAGTTTAATCAAATGATGAGCATTTCTATCAGTTTACTACCTGTCTGAAAATAAAGCAGTTGTGGGAAGTACCAAGATCTTTATTCAGGTTTCAGATATAGAGCAGTATGCAGAAGGTACAGAGATGAGAAGAATACATTTCCTGGCCTTTTAGGGTTAACAATTCAGTGGGCAGAATAAATAGGCATTACACAACATAATGCTCTAATTCAAGGACATGTCTTTCAATATAACCTTGAAGGATAGGATGTTCCAGTTTTCAAGGGTGTTCCAGAGCAAAGGAATAATTAATTAATGCCAAGGCACAGGGGCCTTTAGGGCATGTTGAGGTAACAGCATATTATTATGTCTGGAAGACCCAATAAGTGTCTGTGGAAAGGGAGTGGAGACCTCGGTGCTGGGCTGCTTTGCACTTGATCTTAGCCGAAAGGCCGAGAAGCGGCAGGCAGCTTTACTACACACTTCCCCTGAGAAAGCGGTAGTTTGACCAACACAGGTAGCCACTGGGCATGTCGGAGCAGTAGAGGGTTTTGGAACCTCATGCTAGAAACATGGTGCGTCTGTAAGTGGATGGGGACTAAGGGTGAGGGACCAAATTTCGTAGTAGTTGGAGAAAGAGGAAATGGACAGAATGGAGAGGAGACCCAGAGACTTGGCTGGGAAAGGCAGTGAAGATGGAGGAGTCACAGCTGGTTTTAAGCCTGAGTAAAGATAGCATTGACAAAAAGAAGGCAGTCAGTAGGAGGTTACTGGTGGAAGATAAGGACTTAGGCACACGAACCCCATGCATTGTGCATAGGTATATAACATATATACATACAAATGCCCACTTTCCCACACCGACAAATCTATCAGATGCTCTCATCTTTTTATGTCCTGTCTTCTCCCTTTTCTCCTATTCTTCCCCATAGCAAACTCCTATTCAAACAGCTTTTTCTTCCTGTTGTGAGAAGGACTTTACGGATGAAAGAAAGCAAAACAAAACGTCTTCTACATGATACTTATGATCCTGCACCGTTATCATCAATGAGACTTGATGCAAGTTGATCCCAACATTTCAGAGTTTTCCAAATGGATGTTCATTTCCTTTAAGTGGTTTTTTAGAGAATAATCACCCATTTGGCACGGACTGAATCACAGGCAACAAGATCCCTGTGAAGCAATCACATGAGCAGGTGTTTCTCTGCCCACTGTTATTTTCAACCCGTTCAGGGCTGACGTCAACAGTTCATACTTCTCGTTATTGTTGGCTTTGGTTTCTGCAAAGCTGTATCTGGTGAGCCTGGAGTTTAAGATGAATCTTCAGAAGCATTTGGGTGTTTACACTTGGAATTGCTTAAAAATAGATCTCCGTGTGTACGTATTATTTCAATACCTGCATTTGTAAGAGGTGACAGACACCTTAGTACAGCCTCTACTTCTGCACATACTTTTTGGGGAAAAAAATCCCTGCAATGGAAGACAGTGTGGAGAGGAGGCAGGAGGAAATAAGGATAGGTTTTATAAATGTGGTGATGCCAAAGCAGTAGTGACTGTACCTCTGGGCCACTCCCTCAAGGGTAGTAGGTTACATTTGGAAGGCAGTTTGAGAACCAGGGACCTGGCAGTTTAGAAACTAGAATGTGCCTCATTGGTAGCACAGGCAGTCTTTGCCTGATGTTCTCTAGGTTATTGAATTATTACTAAATAGACAACTTCTGAAAGGTGATTTCCCTTAAAAGTTCTGGTACGAAATTTTGTGCTAAGCTCTGTAATGTGTCTACTTCTGGGGTGGGTTCTATCTACCTTTCAGGCGCTTTTGGCTTGATTTCTGGCTATTCACCCATCTGTGACCCCAAACTCCCAAGTTTGTAATGGCAACAAGGTATCTTGATCATTCAATGAATACTTTTAGGTAGAAAACTGTGTTAATTTCACTACCAAAGCATTTGAAAAGTGTTCTCTAATCCATAATGTGGTGTGCACAGAGTCAATAGCCCACAGTTTTTCTTGGAAAAGAAGCCCATGAGTCCACAGTGAGACTTTCTTGGGAAGCTGTGACATTTATTTGGATTCCTTAAGGGCACTTAAATTTAGGAAATTGCATAAGTCTCCATTATTTTCCTGTGTCTTAGAATAGTCTGTGGAGCCCTGCTAACCCAAGGTTCCTAGGTTAAAAGGGAAACAGAAAAAAAACCCCAAAACCCCAACCTATATTCATGGAAGAATTAGGGAGAGTGCGGCAGGGACTAGAAAGAGGGCAAGGCATAGGATTTGGGCTTTTGAAACAAACAATAAAAACAAAAGAGACACCTTAATGTATAGCCTCTCCCCACCCCCAATACTTTCCGGAAATACATACACTCAGTGGGGACCAGGAAGTAACAATCTGTTACTTAGCAGCAGAAGTGGCTATAGTATTGAACTTTGAGCTCCGGTCGGTCCTCTGGCTCTCGGGCTGAGCTACAGATTACCCTGATCTTTTGCAAATGAACAGCTGAAATATTTAGTGTTGGCTTCCCACTAAAGAGGGACATTGTAAATCACTACACAGCAGCAAAAAATACATTTTGAATATTAATACCCAATCTTTAAGGTTCTCTGACTAAAATCAAAAGAGGAGGAATCATAAACTCAACCCCAGGGATCTTTATATTAGTGGCTAGCAAGGGGTTAAGGAGCTTCGTCTAATCAGCGGTAGTAATTGAATGTGTAGTTCGCAGGCCTGCCAAATTGCCAAACCTAGATTTCTCATATTAGATAATGTGTAATAAAAGACAGCTGTTGCCAGCATATGCTGTTCATCACACACCAGTTCCTTATTCATACATTTTGGTGTCACCGCTGCAACCCGGAGAAGAGGCTCTGGCTGGGAGGACAAGGAGCCCTGACGCCCCAAGATAGATCTTAGAACAGGACCGATCACTCTAGGAAAAGGGCTGCAGGCAAAACATTTTTCAAAGTGTGATGCTTTTGGTAATAAGGCCTTAGGCATACTCCTTCCCACTTAGGCAGATAGCTGGGTGCATGAGCGGCTGAACCCTGGGAAACTTCCTTTCCATATTGCCTGTGTCTGACAGCCCAGATCATATGCAAGGAGGCTCTGTGTCAAGATGTGGCACGTGTCAGGGAATTTGACGGTGCCTAATTTACTTAAATTGTTTTTTTTATTTAAATATTAGGTGCCTAAGAGAGGTTCATCGCTAATCCAGAGTAGAAACTAGTTTATAATTTGACTTAGTCTGATTTTTCGTGTGTGTCACTGGTAACCCAAATCAGTCGGTCCACAGGAATTGGGTCTCTGCTATGCGCCTCACGATGTGGTAGGCAAATACTTTCAACTAGTCAATTAGCTAGATGGAAAGGTTAGCAGAAGAGAGGCAGGGAAACTGTTTTCTTTTTCTTTTTTTTTTTTTTTTAAATATTTTTATTTATTTCTAGGAGAGAGAGAGAGAGAGAGACAGCGTGAGCAGGGGAGGGTGAGAGAGAGAGGGAGTCACAGACTGAAACAGGCTCCAGGTTCTGAGCTGGCAGTCAGCACAGAGCCCGACGCGGGGCTCGAACCCACGAACCGCGAGATCATGACCTAAGCGAAAGTCGGACGCTTAACCGACTAAGCCACCCAGGCGCCCCTGGAAACTGCTTTCTGTGTAGAGGCCTTGGATTTGTCTTGTGGACTTAAAATATTTTATATTTGAATTCATCTAGCATGATTTTTTAATTTAGAAGGCAGGATACAGGTGGACCAGATGAAATCTTAAGGTTCCCATCAATGCTATGATTCTTTGCCTAGCAAAAGGGCATTTAAAATTGCCAAAGAAAGGCTGGAAATTTTAATAACTTATTAATGTTTGCCACCATTTATACAGTTGGTATTTATGTATTAAGGCCTTAGAACTTCCTTTGTTTTCTATTAGTCCTTTCTCTATGGTTCTTGCTGTTTTTGGATTGAGATTGTTTTTGTTCTCTCTTTGGTTTTCATCTTTGATGTTGCCACATGTTTGTGATTTTTAAAATTTAACTTTATATTTTTATATAAAAATATATTTTTATAAAATATATATATATATTTTTAATGATCGCCCTTGAGTTTTTCCTGCAAATATTTAAAATTTGATGAAGGGCAAAATTGAAGAATATTTTAACGCATTTCTCCTGAACCTGATCTTTCATCACTACTTACTTATATTGGTGTCTTTGTAGTTTCCTTCTGTTTGTCTGTTTAGCTATTTTGAAGTTTCCCTTCTATTCCAGGTAGTGCACTAGGCACTACATTCCCCAAGTGGCCCTAAGGATAAAGATAATTCTGTACAGAAGCCAGATATTTGATCCAGCACACCCTTTATATAAATATACATACGATCTCCACACATAAGATTCTGTGAATAATATGATGAATATTGATAGCAAGAGTGGTATTTTTAAATATAAGCGTAGATATGGTAACAAACAACATAAGTAGATATGACCTACCTGAGTAGTTTGCAATAGGAAACAAAGACAAAAGCCAGGGAGATGCAAATAATGAAGGTAGATTGAGACAATGTGAGTATTGTCTGTATACTGGAGAGATGAAAATACCTGGGAATGTCAAGTTTATTGTCTCCTCCATAAGAAGGCATAGCTGAGTGGTCCCCGCCCATGTTTGTGGTAAGTAGGACAAATCAGGATGAAATAAATCATGCAAATTGTTGTGGGTCTTGTACAGTTAGTCCTTACAAGTTGAAAATAAATACTTTTTGGCAATCTAGAGACTCTTTTTGGATCTGAGCCTTCCAATTGCCATCTTCAGAATGATCTAAATGATTGGAGGTGCAGAACTGAAAAGACAAGGAATTACGAAATGTAATTAATTTGCATCAAAGCAACAAGAGCCCATCATCTCTTTGTCATATTAGCTTAACTAATCAATCCGTAGCCGAATTCTGAACACTGAGGCATTCCAGAGAGTTTGTGAGAATGCTAGCATTTGGTCCGTGATAATTCAGATTCATTAACAGTCATGTAGGCTTCTGTCCTAACAAATGCCTTAATGAGAGTTTTGTTTGTGCATTAATGTTATGTTTTTCTCCTTCTAATTTTCATGCTCTATTTGTTTGGACTATGCGTTGATCTCCTGACTTTTTTTAGAGTTTATTTATTTGTTTTGAGAGAGACAGAGACAAAGAGAGCATGAGCAGGATTGGGGCAGAGAGAGAGGGAGAGAAAGAGAATCCTAAGCAGTCTCCTCAATGTCAGCACACAGCCTGATGTGGGGCTTGAACTCACAACCCGCGAGATGAGGACCTGAGCCAAAACCAAGAGTCACATGCTTAACCGGCTGACTCACCCAGGCAGGCCCTGACATTTTTATGTATTCACTGATAGATGACAAGCATGTCAGGCTGACAATGGAACGCTTGCTCTTGGGTTAGCTAATCCTAAGCAGTTTACAGTTAACATTTGAGAAAGAGCTGATTACCGTTTGTTAATTCCTAAACTAATGAAACAAAAACATAGAAAAAACAGCAATCACCTGAAAAAACGAGACGCTGCCTTTTGCTTACTTTTCCTATTTACAAGGGTAGAAAATATCCCGGAAGTTTATGTTTATATGATCTTTTTCCAAAAGGTGCAGAGGAGTAAAGATGATAGTATTCATACTGTTTATACCTCTTTGGAGGTTTGGAGGTTCCCTTCTTGGCTGCCGATCTCCCTGCACTCTTCCAAACCTCCTGTAAAAAATCGATCATAAACAGAATTGGGGTTTTGAGTCCCTGGTTTCACCTGAATTGTGTTTCTGTATATGAGTTGGTTCTTTAGAGATGATTTTATCCTGCTAAAAACAGTAAATATTGAACTATTATAATAAATACAGTCATTTCATCAGTATCTCAAAAAACTATCAAGTATTTGAGTTTTATATGCCACTCTGCGGGTGTTGTGTTTGGATTTCCGTTTGATTATAAATTGCTATGGTTAATCTTCAGAGGCTATTTTAAATAGGGTTTAGATAGGACATTCTTTTAGGAAGCTTTGGAGTTTTGCCACATTACATGAACCGTTTTGGCCAGGGTGTATTATTATCTGAGCCTCCTTTAGCCTTTTAATGCTCCCACGTTCTTGTTCTTGGCTCTCCTTTGCTACCACTTGAGAATGGAAATTACTACCTTTACTTAACAATTTCCCAGAGCTGGGCCAAAGAAGGTGATAAAGAACAAAGTGCTTTGTGATTTACAACACTTTATAGATGTGACTTAAGGACCCTTAGATAACTGTGTGCTTATTATATTTTTCAGCTTGCTTTGACGAGATCAAGTTCTTTAGGTGACTTCTCCTGGTCTCAAAGGTAATGAAATTCTTGTAATTTTTGGTCTCTCACCAGGGCATTCAGGAGCACAGCTCTTCAGAATGTGGACACACATATACACACACACAGTGTTATATACTACAGTTTACATGAATGTCGGCTATTCATAATTGTGACAGTTATTTAATGATAAGTATGAGCCAAATGTGATACTTTGGTCTTCATGCATATTTTTAATTTTTGTTACAGAAAGCTTGTTAGCGTGGAAAAGCAAGATAATGGAACATTTGGATTTGAAATTCAGGTGGGCAGTTTTCAATTTTCCAGACTTTTATTGAAGAACGTGGCACTGATAGTATGTTATTTTGCAAAGAAAGAGTGAAGTCAAGATTAGAGAATCATGGGCTCCATAACTTCTGGCTGTGACTTTTATCCAGTGTGTGGTGGTTTGGGGTAGTTTTTTGGTGTGCTGGGTGTCCTCAAGGAAAGAAAACATTGAGCAGACAAAATTAAACCGCTGAGACATGCTCGTCTCCTTGTTCTTGGTTGCTTCAGTTTTCTTGTAAGTCTGAGGCTGATCAGAAATACTTGGTTTTAGCCAGATCTTCTAAATAAGAAAGTGAAATACTCTTTACAGATGCACATTTTATATATTTGTATTTAATATGTGTTTTGCATAAGCATTTTGATACTGTATATCATATTTTATTTGTATCTTTTATTTTTAACATTCTTATTCAGGTTTGATAGAGAGAGGCAGAGTGCGAGGAGGGGTGGGGCAGAGAGAGGGAGACACACAGTCTGAAGCAGGCTCCAAGCTCTGAGCTGTCAGCACAGAGCCTGATGCGGGGATTGAACTCAACAAGCATGAGATCATGACCTGAGCCGAAGTTGGATGTTTAAATGACTGAGCCATCCAGACGCTCCCTGTATATCAGATTTTCTATCTATACTCTGGTATTCAAGAAATACCTGAAAGTGTGTATATTTGTATATATGAGACTGCATGTATTCATGTGGAACTCCTGTTACATTTTGAAATATTAAAGATTTCATCTTGGATATGACAAAGAAGATTGGACTTTTTATCTTAATGACAACGCCTTATACTTATTATTTGAAACATTTTAGAACATTTGGGTCTAGTTGCATATTGTCTCATGCTCTAGGAAGTTTCTGACAGTTTTTATAAGTTTCTATTCCTTTGTAAATTTTTTAAATGTTTATCTATCTTTTGAGAGAGAAAGAGCATGAGCAGGGAAGAAGCAGAGAGGAAGACACAGAATCTGAAGCAGGCTCCAGGCTCTGAGCTGTCAGCACAGAGCTCCATGCAGGGATTGAACCCATGAACTGTGAGATCATGACCTGAGTTGCAGTCGGAGACTTCACCGACTGAGCCACCCAAGCACCCCATAGAGGCTTTGGTTTCTAGTAGTTTAAGAATTTCATTTCTTATTTACTATCTGTGTTTTCATGACCATATTCGTAAAGGTGGTGAGTTAGGTCAAATGAAGTCCAGTCCAATTAAGTGCATAATAATAACTTATGTATTATTGGTTGTTTTCTCCATCACACTTTGGCATTGCTTGTAGATAATCATATTCTTTTGCATAATTGTATTCTTATAGTGCACATTGGCTTTGAGATCTTAACTTTGGCACTGCTTTCAGAAAACTTTGGTGACTGAATATCAACCCCCAAATTGGAAAGTTGCTGTGTATTTGAAGATTAGGAACAGGAAACTGCTAATAAGTAAAACATGCTTTCTGAATAAAGAAACCAAATCGAACTCTAGCTACAATGAATAGTTAGAAGGCTGTAGGAGGAAGAAAGATACTTTCTGTTTTCTGATCTATTCTACTTTTAAATTTGGTCAAATCTATAATTCTTCTATCAGGTTTTAGAAGCATAGTACTCTCTCTTACTCCCCATTCATATGCAACACACTCTTTCTGCTGTGGAGACACTGCCTTTTGTGCCTCTTTAAAAAATTATTTTAAATTTTTTTCTGAGAGAGAGAAACAGCATGAGCAGGGGAGGGTCAGAGAGACGGAGACACAGAATCTGAAAACAGGCTCCAGGCTCTGAGCTGGCTGTCAGCACAGAGCCCGACACAGGCCTCAAACCCACAAACTGTGAGATCATGACCTGAGCTGAAGTTGGACGCTTAACCGACTGAGCCACCCAGGCGCCCCTATGCCTCTTTTTAAATGAGAATTATCCACTGGGTATGTGGCAGTTGCTACTGGAAACGGGATCAATGACTACTCACTTATCCCTATTTAATGTAACGAGTAAGGATTTGTTTCTTATTCTTCTATGAGATATGTCATCGTTTCCCCATGCTTCTCCCCCATACCATGGATGCTGACTCCACATGGAGCATGAATCAAAGCTATCATTAGTGGACAGCAGGCTACAGCACCTAAGAACCTCTGTAGATCCACATGAATTAATGATTTCACTTCTGAACTGCAATGTGTTCCAGTAACTGAGGAACCCAGTTTTCTGCCAATTCCCTTTTGGTATATGCTTTCCATTGCCACCTCCACACCATTATCTATTCTATTTTTTTCATGTTTATTTATTTTTGAGAGAGAGAGAGAGCAAGAGAGAGAGAGAGAGAAAGAGAGGAGGGGAGGGGCAGAGAGAGAGGGAGACACAGAATACAAAGCAAGCTCCAGACTCTGAACTGTCAGCACAGCTCCCATGAACTGGGAGATCATGACCTGAGAGAAAGTCGGATGCTTAACCGACTAAGCCACCCAAGCATCCCCACACCATAATCTCTTCCTTAGCAGTCCTAAGATTCGCACTAGTCATCAAATAGGGGAAATAGTCTGGGAACTTTCTGAAGGCCAGGTAGAGCCTTATGTATCCACCTTGGGCACCCAACATTAACATGTATTTGGGTTCTGATCTACCAAGTGCAGGGCACGTTGGAAACGAAACAAGTACATCTCCCCTTTGGATTTCCGTGGGTGCTAGTTTTGTACTGCTAGTGAGACTCACACACTTTGATAGCAACACAAATGTTAGATTCATACACACCAGGTTCATGTTCTCTCAGTGCTGCCTTGTGGGATTCTTCGGAGGTTCAAATGAAATAATACATCATATAAAATCCTTAGTAACGTGCCTGGTACCAGTAGATCAAACAATAGCAGGTGTTAGAATAAAGGTCACTGGGCATGAGAGAGAGTAATGTGACTTTTATATCTCTGAGAAATGCAAGGGATTGTTCTGTCATTGGCTTCTAGAAGACTAGGTGAGAGAGAGAGAGAGAGAGAATTTGACTATTTCTATCCAGAACTTTGGGGCTTCTGCCTTTTCTTCTCCGTCCCTAACCCACAAATTTTACACTGGCTGCACACATATATGCCGGCTGTATAAATCAACATGTTTCCCCCTCATTGTACTCACTTCGATCACTGGACCTGGAGAGCAGATTCTCACTGCTAATAAGAATTGTTACAACAGTGGTGTCCCAGAGGAGTGACTGTTAGAGTTCTGGTTCATGTACCGCATGGACTAGATCACCTTTCCATTCCTGAAAGGGTCGAGGCTGTAGCAAGAAGACTTCTTGGCAGAAACGCTGCTAAAGGGATCTGACCTAGAGGGGAAGTGTAATAAATGATCTTTAAAGGTCCCTTGTACCTTTATGAAATAGGGATTCTAAATGCGTTGCAGAGTGAATAGAGATTCCTTAGATGTTAACAAAATCAAGTTTCTAGGAGGAGCCTGCGTGTCTGTAAAATAGGAAGGAATGAACATCAGGCATTAATTTCCCCACAGAGAAGCAGTTCTGGAATATGGATTCCCTTTAGGAATCAGATTACTAAACCCAGATACTGGTTTTGATTCTGAATGGAGCTAGGCTTCATAACCTAAATGTGTGAAAAAGAAAAATGTTTGTTATAGGTCACAGGGCCACTCTATCGAGCAATATTTATGGAGTGTTCTTGGTATACTTTGGAACCAAAATAAAAACAAAACCAAGCTGCTTTTGACACACTGAGGCAAGAGAAGAGGCATAACTTTTTCTAATTTAGTTGCGTGACTAATGAACCGGTGAGTATTCAGGGCAGGCATGCCAGAGAGCACTTAGTCAAGAAGGTAATCACGTCAATTACAGCACTTTTGAAAAACTACAGGGCAGATTGTCATTATTTGCAGAGCTCTGATTTAAAATAATTATTGTTGGCACATGTCCCTTCCTGGATGTGTACTGTTCCATATGCTCTTGTAATGAGCGCTTTAGCTGAGGAGAACTGCATGGAGATTTTCCCCTTTGCTTTTAGGCTACTATTGTTTTATCCCATTGGGAAATAAAGAAACCTAATTTTTCTTAATATATAATAATGAGAGCATCAGGTGATCTCTTAGATTGTAAAAAGACAGTCTTGAGCCTGTGTTATCCCATTTTTAGTCTCAAGCTGGATTTTTTTTTTTTTTTTTTTAATGAAAAGGGTTGGCTACAGATAGCATCCTAGAATCTCAAGACTGGTCTCTTTGATTCAGTGTATATTCAAGAAAGCTTTTCCAAATGTTCTTTGTACTTACCTGTTATACCGCTTAAGGTAGTCAACACCCTTTTATGCTGTGACACATAGATTTTGAGCTTTTTGAATAGTAATTATTGTATCGCTTGAATTTTGACAGACTTACAGGCTCCAGAACCAGAACACGTGCTCCTCTGAGATGTGCACTCTGATTTGCAAGATCCAGGAAGACAGCCCAGCACACTACGCTGGCCTGCAAACTGGTAATTTATAACTTTGCTCCTACTGGGAATGATTTAAATAGCAAGCAGAGAAAACTTCATGATACCGAGGGTCAGGATGTGATTGGCGCTTTGCATTTCCTTAGCTCTTTTATATTTGGGGCTTGCTTGTTTTGCTTTATTTGCATGTCAGGAGGGAGTCTCTAAGCAAGTATGTTAACACTCACTTTTCTTGGCATCTCCCAGGTGATGTCCTTGCAAATATCAATGGCGTGAGCACAGAAGGCTTTACCCACAAACAAGTCGTTGACCTGATCAGATCTTCAGGAAACCTGTTAACGTAACTATCCATCTGCTTCCCCTGGGGCTTCGGAAATGTTATGGTCTCACATAATGCCTGTTGAGTGAATGAATAGGCTTTTTGTTCAGGATCACAAGAAGGGAGACAGTGCACCAAGGCTTTGGGATCGGGTACAGACATTTATTATCAGTCCCTTTTGTTTCTCAAGGTTTCCTCAAACTCGAACATACTGTTGACATCTGAAGTCAGAGGACATCAATAGCCCGAACGGCTGTGTGGGAGGGAAAGCATTTAGAAAATTTATTTTTTTTATGTCCAATTCAATTAAACTGGCACACATTCTCTTTGGACACAGAGGAACTAGTCCAGATTCCGTGGCTAGTATAATCTTGTGGTTAGAACAAATAAAAGGTCAGAAGGGCTGAATTTTTTACTCTTACACCACAAGCCAATTGTTTTTCTTTTCTGGTGTTCCATTTAGAAGAAAGCTCTGTTGAATTCTCCCTGCCCTGCGACACACACTCACACCTGCGAATAGTTCAGACTTCCTCCTGGGCAGTGCTCTCCCCAACCAGAGACTTGACTGACTTTTCTCCCGTACCATCCTTAGAGCCTAATAATTAGTAATTAGTTAAAAGATGGAATTTGCTAGGTCATTCAAATGATATTTATTGAGCAAATACTGTGTTTCCAGCTTTGTGATGGGCTTAGGAGAGACAAAGGCAACGATACTCGTACTGCTTTATTATCTGTGGAAGGAGATGGGCAAAGAAAGCCTCCAAAATAAGAAATTTTGAGATTTCAAGTTTTGGTTACTGCTATTAAGAAAGTAAAATAAGGAATGGGATAGAATACTGAGTAAGAGGACTCTACTGTAGTTTAAAGGGGTCTTGTCTGAGGAGGGGAAATCTGGGCTGAGACATAAAGAAAGAGAAGGGATGGTCATGTGAACTCCTGGCGTGAGCCTTTCAGGCAAGGAGATAATTCTCAAAAGGGGCTTGGCATGTCCAAGAAGAGAAACAACCAGTGTGATGGGTGGTTGGTAGATTAGGGAGAGCATAAGAAATGTCAGAGGAAGTGGTTAAGCATTTATTCTAAGGTGGGGTGTGTGTACATTATCTCATTCATTCTTCACAGCCACCTTGTGACGTTAGTTTTATTTCTATTTTTAGATAAAGTGTCTAAAGCTTAAGTTAGGTGGACTTAAGATCAATGATATAGTAAGTGACTGGGCTAGGATTTAACCATCTGCTCTGGATGCCACGATCTATCTCTTGAGCTACCCCACAGCTGCTCATTACAAGCTGCCAATAGAAAATCCACCAGATGCTCTTCAGTTATTCCGGTCTAAACTTCAAAGATGTTCTGACTGTCTGTGGGACTCTTGATGGTAGAGGACTTAATCCAACTCTGTGGATCCTATGAGTTCAGGGTAAAGGATGGGGGGCTCTTTGTCCAGAGAAACTTGAATCTATATGGTTGGAGCCATATAGAATCCAAGGGAAAATGGTGGCGGTTAGAATCAGAAAGCTATGTTCCAAATGGGTGAAGTGGGTAGAAAGCAGGTATATAATTAAGGAGTAGCCGGTGGAGACAAATGGAAACCCAGACGTCAGGAAAATGAGAGACATCTGTATAAATACTGAAGAGAGTGACCAACGGACTCCTTTGGTTTTGCACATAGACATCTGTTGCTTGTTCAGCTCAGATTGGCATTAAGGGTCCCATTGAAACAGATTCATAGGGCTCCTCATTCGTGCCCAGAGACAAGATCACCCTAATGAGAAAGCAGACAACATCTTGGTTTTCATTATCATCTCGTTATCTTGGGAATGATGCTATTAGAAATGGAGAAAAATCAGTCTCCATATTTAATGCTATTATTTATGACTTGAAAGATTTCCTGCATCTTAATAAATAGTCACAGCTTACTTGTCAGAAGTAATTTGAACCAATACTTTAAAAATGCTTAGGCATGTCACTAACATATGAAATTTGTTACCCTATTCAGATTCCTGACTTAGTAGTCAAAATAAAGACCTCAACATAAGCCCACAAAACAAATCACTCAGGATAGAACACGTCCTTTTATTTTTAGAAAGGCATTTGGTATAGGGAGAAAAGAACACCATTAAACTGATAAGGCTGGGATTAAAGTTTAAAAACTTAAAAGGTTCTGAGATGCGAGAGTCATATGAAGGTTATTATCTCATAGTGGTTTTGGTTCTGTTTGTTCTAGCTGCAAAATTAAGGCAATTTACCGAGTAAAGGTTCCTAGAATCCCAGGAAAGAAAGGATTTTTTTTTCTTTTTCCAAAAAAGAGCATGTTGATTTCACTGTACGAAAATCCCTATTGCATGTTGCTTTCATTGCTGGACCCCTCATGCTTAGCACAGTGTCTGAAGTCTGTCACATAGTAAATGCCCAGTAAATATTCGCCAAATAAAATGGGTGATTCAGTCAGAGACTGTGAGAATAGATTCCAGTAGAGAACAAGAGTCATTGACATACTGTGGCATCTATAAAGCGAGCTACAGGTTACGAATTAAATAGTATCTTTCCTTTCAACTTCCCTCTCTAGGGGATTTTTTTTTGTTTTTCTTTTGCTTTTGTTCCATTTTTTTCTCTGAATATTGTCAGAAGATTTGGCTTAGGTGCAGATGCTTGAAGTGCCATGAAAATACTAACATTTATGTTGCTCTTTAAGGTATAGTCTGTGCTCAAAGTCATGTATTCCACAAGGATGGTACTTGTTTGAAAGAATCTCTCATGCTGTTTTCCCTCCCCCCCACCCTCTTTCTCTTAAAACAGGATAGAGACTCTTAATGGAACAATGATTCTCAAAAGAACAGAACTTGAAGCAAAGCTACAAGTTTTAAAGGTAATTTAATTTAATACAGTGAGGCACATTTTTCATCCCTGAATGTGTGAGTAGTAGAATAAAAACCTATTTGAGGAATTGAAATAGCCCTTGAAGATGAAATGTCATGATGAGTCTAAACTGCTGAATTATCAAGAGCCACACAATTACCTTTACAGGAATATTAAATTCCACAAGCCAGTGCAAATCTCTTTCTTCCTTCCTCCTTCTGTGTTTTTGGGAGGCTCAGAAAGGCAACAGGAAGGCACATCAGTTGAAGAACTTTTCATTAATGCACCTGTGATCTCTCTTGATTTACATTTTGTTTGGGGAAGAAACAAAGGAGGAGTTGCTGGTCTTTTCTTCATTTTGCCACATGCTGCCTGTGAGGGGTGCAGGCGGTGGTGCGAGGGGGTCTGGAAGTTGTGTTTTCCCACTGTCCTCTTCGGTGTCTTTCTGTTCAGCGTCATTCATCCTACAGAAATCATCTCCCTCTGCTCCTGTGGCTGTCCTTGAATCTACTTTCATTGGCAAACACGCAATCAACTCTGAAGTGAAACAAAAAAATTAAGTTTCCAGGAGATAATGCACGCTGCAGGAAGTTTAGAGCAAATGCCCTGTGATGGCTTTTTGGGGGTCTTGAAAATCTCAGTTTGCTAGATGTGAGGTTCTGCCAGGCCATGAAGTGCAGATCCTCACCCACGTGCGTTTGAGTCATGGTCCTGCAGATCACAGTGATCTCTATCCCAGAGATCTCTCCTGCATGGCAGCGAGGGGGTCCGTCCAAGCAGAGACCACATGGCTGACTGCAGGCAGGTTGCTTGCTTGGACTGTGTTTAGCAATATAGCTGGTGTTTATTAATTTTCTTTATTCATTTTTGAGAGAGAGAGAGAGAGAGTGCAGAGAGAGGAGGAGAAAGAGAATCCCAGCTCCAAGCTGTTAGTGCAGAGCCCCACTCTGGGGCTCGGCCTCACAAACCGTGAGGTTATAGCCTGAGCGCCGAAATCAAGAGTGGGACATTTAGTCAACTGAGCCAACCAGGCGTCCCTCTATTTTTTAAGTTTTTGAGGAAACTCCATACTGTTTTCACAGTGGCTGCACCAATTTGCATTCCCACCAATAGTGCATGAAGGTTTTTTTGTCTCCACATATTCCCCAGCACTTGTTATTTCTTGTGTTTTTGATATTAGCCATTCTGACAGGTGTAAGTGATAGCTCACTGTGGTTTTGATTTACATTTATCTGAGGATGAGTGATGTTGAGTGTTTTTTTCATGTGTCTGTTAGCCATCTGTATGTCTTCTATGGAAAAATGTCTATTTAGGTCCTCTGCCCATTTTTAATGGAATTCTTTGGGGGTTTTTTGGTGTTGAATTATGGAAGTTCTTTATATATTTTGAATATTAACCCCTTGTTGCATATATCATTTGCAAATATCTTCTCTCAGTCAGTTGCCTTTTTGCTTCATTGATTGTTTCCTTTGTTGTGTAAAGCTTTTAATTTTGTTGTAGCCCCGTAATTTATTATTGCTTTTGTTTCCCTTGCCTGAGGAGACATATCCAAAAATATGTTTTTTAAGACCAATATCCAAGAGATTACTATATATGTTTTATTTGAGGGGTTTTATGGTTTCATGTCTCATATTTAGGTCTTTAATCCATTTTGAGTTTATTTTTTGTATGGTGTGAGAAAGTGGTCCTGTTCTTTTCTTTTCTTTCTTTTTTTTTTTTTTTTTTTTGCATGTAGTTGTCCAGTTTTCCCAATTACTGAAAAAAATTATCTTTTCTGCATTGTATATTATTAACTCCTTTGTCATAGATTGATTAACCATATAACTGGGTTTGTTTCTGGCTCTCTATCCTTTTCCATTGATCTATGTGTCTATTTTTGTGCCTGTGTAATGTTTTGATTACTCTGGCTTTGTGGTTTATCTTGAAGTCAGAGATTGTGATACCTTAAATTCTAGTGTTCATTTTTTAAGATCATTTTGGCTATATGGCTTTTGTTTGTGGTTTTGTACAAATGTTAAGATTATTCTAGTTCTTTGAAAAATGCTATTTGTGGGGTGCCTGGGTGGCTCAGCTTCTTGGGCATCTGACTTTGGCGTAGGTCATGATCTCATGGTGCCTGGGTTTGAGCCCTGCATCAGGCTTTGTGCGGACAGTGTTAAGCCTCCTTTGGATTCTCTCTCCTTCTCTCTATGCCCCTCCTTGACTCACACTTTTTCTCTCTCTCTCTCAAAATAAATAAATAAACTTTAAAAATGCTGTTTGTATTTTGATAGGGATTGTATTGACTCTTTAGATTACTTTGGGTAATATGGACATTTTAATGATATTAATTTTTCCAAACCATGGACATTGAATATATTTCCATTTGCTTGTGTTGTCTTCAGTTTCTTTCATCAATATCTTATATTTTTCAGTGTGTAAGTCTTTCATCTACTTGGTTAAATTCATTCCTAGATATTTTGTTCTTTCTAATGCAATTATAATTGGCTACTTCATTATTATTGTATGGAAATGGAATAGATTTTAATATTTTCATTGTGTATCCTGCAGCTTTACTAAGTTTACTTATTACTTCTAGTAGTTTTTTGGTGGAATCTTTAGGGTTTTCTATATATAGTGTTATATCACCTGCAAAGAGTGGGTTTTACTTCTTACTTAACCAATTTGGATTCCTTTTATTTCTTTTTCATGTCTGATTATTGTGGCTAGGACTTCCACTATGTTGAATCAAAGTGATAAGAGTGGACATCTTGTCTTCTTCCTAATCTTAGAGGAAAATTTTTCATAATCTTACCATTTATAACTATTTCTTTATCTCTTTCAATTAAGACTCATAATTTCATGCAAGTAGATCCTATATGTCTTTCACTAGATGTATTCCTTTCTACAAATGATTTTTGTTTGTATTACAGTTTATTTATAAAAATAAACTTTTTGATTGAGGTTGATGTATAGATACATAAAATCAATTTTTATGCTCTTATTCAAACTATATAGTTCAAACTATTTCTAAACTATATAATTTAAGCAAATTATCTGTAGATTATTTTGGTTTTCTGTGAAGACAGTAACTGTTAAAAATAACATACAGGTCCTCTTTCTTACTTCACTGCACTGGCTACAGCTGATAATATAGTGATGAATAGAAACTATAATAATAGGCATTTTTGTTTTGTTCTTGATTTTAAAGGAAATTCTCACTTGTTCCTATTAGGAATGAACTCTCTCTCTGAATATACTTTTCCAATTTGGGATGCTCCCTTCCATACTAAATTTATTGGTAGTTTTTATAGTGCCTATGTATTAAATTTTATCCAACACTTTTTTTCTGCATGTTATTCTTGTTTGCTTATTTTTTTTTTTAAATTATCAATATGGCAAATGACATTTAAAGATTTTCTAATGTCAGGCACCTGGGTGACTCAATCGGTTAAGCGTCCAACTTCGGCTCAGTTCATGATCTCACGGTTTGTGAGTTTGATCCCTGCTTCAGGCTCTGTGCTGACAGCTCAGAGCCTGGAGCCTGCTTCAGATTCTGTGTCTCCCTCTCTCTCTGCCCTTTCCTTGCTTGCTTGTGCTGCCTCTCTCTCTCTCTCTCAAAAATAAATAAATATAAAAAAAAGATTTTCTAATGTAAAACCACTCTTGCATTTCTAGAATAATCCAACCCAGTCATTATTTATAATCATTTTTTACGTAACTATAGATTTGATTTGCTAATATTTTTGTTGGGATTTATGAAGACAGCTTCATTTTTTTAAATGGTTTGTTGTCAAGTTGGTTTCCATATAACACCCAGTGCTCATCCCCACAAGTGCCCTCCTTCATGCCCGTCACCCCCTTCTCCTCCCCCCTCCCCCATCTGCCCTCAGTTTGTTCTCGGCATTTAAGAGTCTCTCATGGTTTGCCTACCTCCCTCTCCCCCACCATTGTGGTGAGAAGGTAGCTTCATTTTTAAGTAAAAATGGTCTGCAGCTTTCTTTTCTCAAACTATCTTTCTTTAGTTTTAGTATCATGTTTACTGGACTCTTGGCATGAGCTGGGAAGAATCTTCCTCTTTTTCTTCTCTGGTAGAATTCTTATAAATATCTGAATCATCTGGGCTTAAGGTTCTTTTCTGGTGAGAATACTTCTAAACTCTGTTTCAGTTTCTTTATTAATTATAAGACTTCTGTTTTGTTTGTTTTGTTTATTTTGTTTTGTTTGAGCCAGTTTTATTGAATTAATGTTTTTGTTAATAAATTTTTGAAATTTTCAAATGTATTGCATAAAGTTGGTAATAAAAATTCTATTGTAATATTTTTGTTTTCTTCACAAGAAAGATTATGTCCCCATTTTTATGTATACTACTTTTTATGCCTTCTTTTTTTTTTCATGGTAATTCCCTCTAAAGGACTTTCTATTTTTGAGTCTTTTAAAAAACCAATATTTCAATTTGTGGCAATCTTTTTCTTTTTTTGGTTATGTTGAAGATGTTCTTTTGTCTTTATTGATCTAAAGTCTCAATGAAATGTGATAGGTTTGGATTCATTTCTAAATTGATATTGCTTAAAAATTACAGTATCTTTTCAATCTGAAGACTTGTGAGTTCCTTCTGTTTTGGAAAACTATCTGCTTGATGTCTTTGAATATACCTTCTCCATCATTTCCTGAACTATCTTTTGGAATTCATGTTGGACATATTTTAGAGTCTTTTGATTTATTTTCCTTGCTTCCTAACCACTCATATTTTGTATCACTTTATCTGTTTTGTTAAGTTCTTGTTGAGTTCTTCAGTAATGTATTTATTCTGTATAGAATGAGTTCTTTCCATCCAGTTTTAAGGATTAATTGATTCTTAAAAAATTTTTAAATGTTTATTTATCTTAGAGAGAAAGAGAGAGAGACAGAGAGTGAGCAGGGGAGAGACAGAGAGAGAGAGAGAGAGAGGGATACACAGAATCCCAAGCAGGCTCCAGGCTCCAAGCTGTCAGCATAGAACCCAATGTGGTCCTCAAATTCATGAATCAGAAGATCATGAACTGAGCTGAAGTCAGACGCTTAACCGACTGAACCATCCAGGTGTCCCAGGATTAATTGCTTTTTAATTTTCAGATCATTCTTTTTCGTGTCTATCCATTCTTGTTTTACTTCTTTGTTTCAGATTTCTTATTCTGATCTTGTTCTTCCTCAGAGGATTATAAATATTCTTGTTTTGAAGTCTTCTTAGGACACTGTTCATTTTCATTGTATTTGGAGACAATCTATGTATTGATTACCAATTTTGTAGTCTTGCATACCTTTTGTTGTATTGGCCACTTCTGTTGTATGGTGGTCTCTCCCATCCACTAAATATTGTACTTGGGTTTCCTCTTCCTTGCACTTTCAAAGCTTCCAATCCCGAGCCAGGTCTGGCAGTGTGGATGCCTTCTTGTGGGTTAGTGTGCTGTTTGGCTCAGGTCATGAGGTTGCATTTTTGTACTCCTGTCTCCTTAGGCCCGAGTTCTACATGAGTCATAGCCGCCATTAGCAGGTTGTCTCAGCCTCATTTTCGTGGTAGTGGAGCTTCAGTTAAGGTTCTCTCCTCAAGCAGGAAACTTGTCTGTCCTCTCCTCAGATAAATAAGCACAGTTATTTATTTATTTATAAATATAATTTATTGTCAAATTGACTTCCATACCACACCCAGTGCTCATCCTAATAAGTGCCTTTAGACTATATATTGCCACAGGACCCCAATTCCTAGCTACCTGTTTCTGCTTCTCCAGGTCTGGCAGACCTTCGCATTTATTCCTGCTTATCCTCTTGCCTTTCTTTTCTAATCTTGACCCTCTGAGATTTCCAGTTCACCTCACGAGCCAGAAGTGTCTGGATCTGACGTGTAACCAGGGTCAAGTTGGCTTCCCCTTGCCACAATGACATTTAGTTTGCGGGTACCACGTAAGTATGCACTGATCTTTCAAAGTTTACATGAGGCCACAGGCTCTTCCTTAGAAAGAGTTGTCCCTTCTGAGCCATGTTTTCAGGGATTCCCTGTCTCATGACCAATGATTCACATGTTTAACATGAAAGCAGCACATCCACTGTGCTAGCTGGAGGAACTAGTTTTTAACCTAACTCTGCTTTTCACCTGGTGTGTAGCCTTTGGGAGGTATTTTGCTACACTGAACCTTTCTTTTCTAATCTGGAACTTCTTAGGACAATTAAACAGCATGTTATCCATGAGAGCACTTTATAAAAGTAGTCAAGATGGAAATGTTTAGCTGTATGTCTCATGTATATTGAAAACATTGGAAATATATCCAGCTCATAATATCCATCTGTGATAGTTGAGTTTGATTTCAGAAGCCATTCTTCGGTATATTCATTCAACCAATATTTACGAAGCGGCTGCTATATATCAGGCCCTGAGCTAGATACAGTGAGAAAATAGGGCCCATTATGGTTAGATCTCCCACATGCTTTGATTTTCTTCTAATGGCAAGAGGTCTCATGTGTCCAAGTATACAACTGTAATGTTACGAACAGGCAGAAACAGATTCTGAGGAAAATGGGGAAACTTCCATAGAGACCAAAAACTCTTGGTCACTTTGACACATCTGCTCTTTACACTGGTGTTTTCTTGGTTTAAGTGATAACATGCCCAGATAACTGGACCAAGTCAACAGATTAAATATTTTAAAACCTTTATTTTCACAAAAATTAACATCTGGCAAGACCTGACTTTGTATTTCTGAATAACAAGAGCAAAAATATAATTTCCTCTTCTCTCTGTATTTAGTTTTGATAGTCAGCCTATCCTGTGGTCCTCTCCTGGACTCTAAGCTCTTGCAGGAGATAGACCCCTGTAAGGAGAAGGAGGGCATTGGATCCTTGGTAGTTCTGTTCTCCGTGGGTCCTTAACTCTGACCTTGATAGGACCACAGTTTGCACAAATAAAAGAAGCTGTAACTCAGGTAGCCCAGCAATCTCATAGACACACTGACTATCATATAGTGCAGAAAAAACAAGATATCAACTGAGTCAGGCATTTTATGGCTTTGAGTTAGTGGTTGCACATCATGTTGGTAACTCCAAGGACTGATGTTTAGTGTTACTATTATCGGGACTTGGAAAATCCTGCCTACTGACTGTTTAGTCCCTGAACGGAGGAAAGCCATTCTTCCCTTAAGCATTTGATGACATTCTTGTAATTGTATTATTTTCTTTTCCTTAGTCTTTCCTCTTCCAAATGTACTTTTTTCCCTCCGCCTTTTCAGCCTTCATCTACCTTTTCTAGACTCTTTCTTACCAAGCAGTGCTTGTTTCCAACTAGGCCGCCTTCCTTTTGCGATGAAGTGTCCACAGGCAAATCTGAGCTGTGCCTACTTGTTGGGTTTGTTGTGGGAATCTGAACAGACAAGGGCAGGGTAAGATAAAGACCAAAGGGAGTGAAGGAGAATGAGCCTTTAGTGATCCTTGTCAGATGGCTTCTGCCTGGCTGGCTTTGATTTTCCTCACCTCAGCCCCTTTGATGGGTTAGGCCAGGTCTCATGAGCAGTCTTGACCGTGACTGCAGCCACTTCATTTCCACCCTGGGACACTGCTCTCATGTGCTGGGCAGCCGAGGAGGAAGTAGTTAAGAAGTGAGGGTGCTTATTAGCAGTGTTCTAAGTTTAGCCTTCCAAAGGAAGCCTTTCAGACAGGCTGGCTTCCCCTTTTTGTATGAAAAATAAATAGGTATGCAGCAGAAAACACTGTTTTAATGCCCCAGGCTTATAGAATGATGATATTTATTGAACATTTACTAAGTTGTAATCACTCTTCCAAACATTCTACATCTACTAACTTAGTTAATTCTCATGAGAATCCTAGGGTCTAGATTCTATTAATGCCTTCATCTTGTGCATGGGGGACTTAGATGGTAAATCCTTGTCTCAACAGCTAGTAAATGGACACAGACCCAAACAATCTGGTTCTGTAATATTTAAAACAAATGAAAGTAAATATATGTCATCGTTTCTATTGTCCATTGTTTCTATTAAAACAATGTCATTGTTTCAACTCCTTGGTGCTACTATATTGTTTCTTGAGAAAGTGGCATTCCCAGTATCCCCCTTTTGTATAGAAAATCATCTTCTGAATGAATGAGAGCATTTGTTAGTGCAAGAAAGGGAAAAAATTAATGACAAATCTCAACACCCAGAAGTAAATTGCTACCTTCACTGGGGATTCCCAATAATTAACACTTTTTTTTTCTTTTTTATCAGCAAACCTTGAAGAAAAAATGGGTGGAGTTCAGATCTCTGCAGTTACAGGAACAGCGTCTGCTTCATGGTAAATGTGATTTCCTGTTCAGAAACCACACTTACATTTCACCTTTTTTTGGTATTTCTGCCTCTAAGTTGTTTTAAGATTATCATCATTATAAGAAACAATTGTCTAGCATGGATCAAGAATACTAGTCTATGTTTTTTGGGGGGCATGAATTTTGGAGTGACCTATGTATTTGGAGGGTGAGTAAGTCCAGTCACATCCCTCTGTACATATAACACATATGCGCGTGAAAACACGCACACACTCACGTGCATGTGCACATTTGCAAGAGGCATGTGGAGATGTTAGAGAAGCAGTAGATGAATTAAATTCCTGAGAATGTTTGTGGCTCCATGGTTGTGTAGTTCTCAGAAACCACGGAGGCTGGAATGGGCAGAGCCTCTGTCATTCATTCATATTATACAAGTTACATGAATGCAGGGAATCTCTTCTTCATGGCCCATAAATCCAAGACAGAAATCGGAATGATCATTCCAACACTTAATGCGTGGCTCTTGCTATTGTGTGAATACTGAAGGGAATGGTTGAGTTAAAAATTTGTTGATCTGACATCTGCTATGTGACTGCTGTTACCCGAGGAATGAACTTGCACATACAAATAAGTCACTGAAACCACTAGCTATGTGGGCGTGAAATATAGGTTGTATCTTCTTAAGATAACACTGAGCTAAAGTATTTATCAACTAGACTGTCTGTTTCAAGTAAAAACTTATTTACAGGAAAAAAGATACATTTAATTCATGATTAGGCACTAATGCATGGCAGAGAGGTTTGTGTTGAAATTTTGTTTTCTTAAATGAGACTTACATATAAGTTACTTCTCTTTTGTATGTTTTTAAATTAATGTTTTAAAATTTCTTAATAGATTTTTTTGGTGGGGGGCGGGTCTGAAGTTTGCTAGGAGGACAGAAATATAAAATCCAGCTACCTCCTGGATTTCTGTAGACTTGAAGGTGTTTGGGAAACCTTTGCCTCTACTTCTGGAGCATTCTTCAGTGGAGATGGGTTTTGGTCTAGTAAGTATAGGCAGTTCTAGGGTTCTATAGGAATAGTCTTGTATAGACAAGTTCTTTTGTTCGTGATTAAGGGAAATAACTCCGCATAAAGACATTGTTGTACACACTGTTTTGAGAGATTGAAGGAGTTCTTTAGCTGACTTTTTCTAGACCTAGAATAAATATACAAGGCATGAGATCCTCAATGGCTTTCCAGTCAAAAAGAATTCATCAACTCATTGCCAGAAGATATAAAGTAGGTTTTATTAGTGAAAAGGAAAGCAGTATGACTGGTCAGTGCAGAGCTCACCATACTGAACCTTGCAGACCAGATGGAAAAATAAAGTGTCTTCTATTACTCTTCCTGAAGCAGAGTGACCTAATTATGTCATTCTCTGGCTGATATAACAAATAATCCCCTTTCTTTTAGCAGCATACCAACCAACTCAGGTAGTACATAAGCAAGTGGGATATGAACAGAATGGGTGTTGGTGCACAATTAAAATTTGGATTTGGAGACCCCAGATGCAGAGAAAGGTTGATGAACAAATTCAGCTAAGCAGATCAAATTCAACTTGTACAAATGAATTGTTACTTATTTCAGGACACGGATGCTTTCTGGACACAGTAGCATTCTAGAGCATTTAAGTGTTAAAGTAGTCTAGGAAGAAATATGGAATTTTGAGGCTGGAAGGTATTCTTTCTGTTTTAAATACCTTTTGAATTTTCTATAATCAGCCTATGGGTGCAGGTTATATAACTGTTTCCCATACATTTCAAATGAGGTTACAATAATTTTATAATTATTTAAAAAATACAGTAACCAAAAATCAGAGAAACTAAATGGAGGAAGTCCATAAGACATCATTTCCCCAAGTATATTTTTTATTTTTCCCCCAAAGATATTCTTTAGAACCCCATTTCTGTGAGAATTTTAACAAACGTTGCAGGGTCACTTCAGTTTAAGAAAAAATACTCTTGGGGGCACGTGGGGGGCTCAGTTGGTTGAACATCAGACTGTGGCTCAGGTCATGATCTCACAGTTTGTGAGTCAAACCCCATAGTGGGCTCTGTGCTGACAGCCCAGAGCCTGAGGCCTGCTTTGGATTCTGTGTCTCCCTCTCTCTCTGGCCCTCCCCTGCTCATGCTCTGTCTCTGTCTCTGTCTCTCTCCCAAAAATAAAATAAAATAAAATTTTAAAAAATTAAAAAAGAGAAATGATATTCTTAGAGATTGACAAGTCATACCGGCATACTGTCAGATGAGTTGAACTGTTCTTATATGAAGAATCTTGTTTAAATTTATGTCATTTAGCATTACCATTTTACATGGAAGCTAGTCCATGAACAATAGTTTGGGAAACACCACTACAAGGTCTATCAAATGGCCTCAGAATAAGTCATTTTTTCATATAGGTGGAGCTCAGTGAAAAATATTGTTCTCTTTTACTCTTTCTGTCTTGCACCCTTTGAAGAGAAATTTTGGTATATTTACTTGTAGGGAGTGATGTCCATATCCATTCCACTTTCTTTTCTGCATTCCAGGTGACTCAGGTAACTGCCCAAGCTTGGAAAACATGGACATAGATGAATCAGTTTTGTTTGGAACCCTGCCTGGGCCCGGGCCAACCCTCCTGGACCGGAATCGATTATCCAGCGAGAGCAGCTGCCTGAGCTCCATGACGATGGACAGCGAGGATGGCTACCAGACATGTGTGTCTGAGGACTCAAGCAGGGGAGCCTTCAGTCGACAGACGAGCACAGACGATGAGTGCTTTGTTCCCAGGGATGGGGACGATTTTCTAAAGAGGTCTTCTTCGAGGAGGAACCGAAGCATTAGTACTGCCAGTAGTGGGTCCATGTCCCCCTTGTGGGAGGGCAACTTCTCAAACATGTTTGGGACCCTGCCCCGGAAAAGCAGAAGGGGAAGTGTCCGAAAACAACTCCTAAAATTCATCCCCGGCCTTCACCGTGCAGTGGAAGAGGAAGAGAGTCGCTTCTGATAGGCTGTCCTGTCCTTTTATATTAGCTTATTTCGTAAATATCTCTAGCCTTGTGTAGACCGACTCCACCCAGCCTGGTGGGAAATGGCAGATGGATTGCAAAACTTAAACCACATCTCGCGGCAATAGTGACCTTTATTTAAATTTTTTTATCATTATTTTTGCTTCTTAGATCATTTTGTAACCAGGAAACCTCCGTTTATAACCAGAAAGTAGGGGGATTAAGTAATAAGTTAGAAAGTATAACAAAATTAATGCACGTTCCTGCTCATTCTAATGCTGCCTGTGAAGGCAAGGGTTGTATTTATTTTCTAGATTATCTATGTGAAAAACTGAGAACTTTTCAGAGTCAAGTGTAAATAAAAGAGTGACGGAATATAATTATTTGGGATACCTTCCATAGGTTAATTGATAAGTCACAAAACCTCAGGCTTGCTTCGGATCAGTAGCCTCCAGGAAGACTTAATAATAGGCAGTTTTGAATGTTTCTGTTTAAATCTGTGAAGGATTATAAAGATGGTCGTCAGCTATTTTCCACAAACACAGCAACAATAAAGCAGGAAGCATACAATTTAATATTAGAGTTTAGCTCCATGAGATCCATGGAAACATGTTGTCTAATAGGGGTGCTGAGGAAGATTATGATAAGGTCTTTTTTATAGGCAGCCTAACCAAATAGGTGAGAATGTCACTGATTCAACTATCGTTCTGCCTAAACGTTGATGGCAAGTCTAGAATTCTCAAGATCCTGCATATAACTTCGTAATTTTGTTTTTGAGCAAATGTCTGAAATTTGAAAAATTAAAGCCAGGAAAAGGATCATCCTCCTGTAGATTTTTTTTCACTTTATTCCTCACTTTATATTATAGATTCCAAACAGTCGCTGCCTTATTAGCACTCTTTCGTGTGTTGGTCATGTTAGTATCACATTACTTCTAGCCTTTCAATCACGTTTTCATTCAGTATCCAGTTAAAGTCCATGATTTCTCTGTTCTGGTGATACAGCTGCTCATGACCTATATTCTAGAGTAGACAGTGTAATAAATAGTCCTTACTGATTTAAAGCTGTGTGTGTGTGTGTGTGTGTGTGTGTGTGTGTGTGTGTGTGTTTGGGAGAAACAGATATTTGATAGATGACTTTGATGGAACCACACTTAAATCAATTGAGTAAAGAATGAGTCATTTTGAGGAAAAAATGGGAAGAGTAAGGAAGCTTGTAAGGTAATAAACGAATGTTAAAAATAAAATATAGAAAGATTTCTAATTGGGACCTGCTTCCCATTAGTTATTTGAACTCAAAATTATCCAGTGGGCTCTCCCTGAGAATCACTCATATGAAAAGCAGTTTGCAGTGTTTCCCAGGAACAGTTACAATCCTGTGTCCTATTTACTGAATACCTAGCAGGTTCAAGATGCCTTCTATGTTATCTAGCACTGGTAGATAAGTGTTAGGCCTACAGAGAAGGAGCAGGAGTTCAGAGAAGTTCCCATGGCCAATGTCAAGGCTGAAATCGGAAGCCATTTCTTTCCAGCTCTGGCCTATCCCCAGTCCTTGGAGATTTGTTTACTCTTTTGCTGGTTCTGTGTGGTCATCACCACAGAACTTCCCCCACTCCCACCCTCAGAGAATACATAAAACACACCCCTCAGAGACTCTGCATGGATAAACAATGTCTTTGGTAAAAAAGAAAACAAGCCCATTTAGAATGACTCTTGGCCTCCACAAGCTAGTTTTCAAATATCGGCACATTAATAACTGCGTGATTAACAATAAATTTATGTTCAGCAAGGGCTTGCAAACCAAGTGATTGGCTGACATTGTTTATTTCCCATCACAGATTAGAATTCTCATCTGCAGTGTATTTTGTTAATCCTATTTTGCCAATCCAGGGGAAAGAAATCATCACATTTGTTTGAAGAAAGATGACTTTAAATTCTTCTACAACATGATCAGTGTTTGAAGAACTTCCACAGATCATCTGGGGAAGCAGATTATAGGCTATTTGCTTTTCTTACGGCTTTAAGTGTTCAACATAGTGTAGTATTTCTTTCTTACAGTAAACAACAAATCCAAAAAGGTGCAGGGAAGGGACAAGCAAGTTTTACTATAGCCTGAGGTAAGAAAAATTAGAGTCAAGAGTTTGATATGTTCTGGGAAAAAAGAAAAGCACTTTTTAACCAAAGTACAGGAAGGAAGGGTATCTCATGTTTTGTGTGTTCACAAGTTGTAAGAAAACTAGCTGTTCAGTGGAAATGTGGGTACAGTTCTCACAGGATGGCTTTTCAGACTATCTGACCTCAGTGGGGCTTTAGAAGACCTCATTTCTCTAATCTTTTGGTGTACAAGTGACTCACTTTGATGTAATTTACTGGGAAAAGAATTGAAAAGTTAGGTGTTTTGTTTTCTGTGGATCCCAAAGTTGTCAATATATGATATTCGTGGATTTCACTAATTGATCATTTGTTATGAAAATGTATATTTCTGTAGCATGGCATCAATAAGCAAAATTTGAATGAAGTATATCAAGAATTACTCTGTTGTGTGGCTAAAGGAACACCATCATGTCAAACAGGTTGGTACTCTAATTCTTGAAAATCACTTTCTATGTTGCAATGCTTTTATATCTTAGTTGCATGTACAAGTAGTATTAAAAATCCTACTTTGAACTGGAGAAATCAAACGGGTGCAGTTAATATGTACTGATCATGTAGTATAAGTATTTATGGATGTATACAACTTAAGTATAGTAAATAAAAATACTTAACAGTTATACTGAACCGTTCAGATTGCAAGGTTATTGGTTCTTTACATCTATTTCCTTACAGAATATGGGCAATAAAAATGTCGAAACATTTCTGAAATACAGAATGCTATCTTCAGTGTCAGAAGTCTCTTCTATCCCTTTTTCGCTCCCCCATCTATCTCTCTGTCTCCATCTCTTTACCTAGCCACCTTAAATGAAATGATTATTTTAAAATCAGCTTTTTAAAAAATCTGGGATGACCTCTTGATATCTATTTTTTTTTTGACATTTTTAAAAGGCATTACCTTTTTAATTGAGGCTTTGCCCTTGTGTTGGCTTTCTGATGTTTGACACATTACTACATACTTAGAGATTTAAGATACGAAGATTGAGATTTAAGCTCAAAGTTTGTGTGGCTCTGGTGTCTGGGCAAGTATTCGCTTGGGTCTATGCATGAACTCATGAGGCTGCAATCAAGGTGTCATCCGGGATTGACTTCTCACCTGGAGGTCTGACTGGGGAAGGAAACACTACTAAACTCCTTCAGATTGCTGTCAGAATCATTTCCTTGTAGGGAAATGCCACAGGTCTCATGGCAGCTTGCTCACTAAAAGCCAGAATGGAAAGAGAGACTGCAAGCAAGGCAGCCTTAGGTAATGCAATGTAACCTTATGAGTGACATCATCTTTGCCATATAGCAGGACATAACTGCAAGAGTGACATCCTACCAACTGTGGCATATTACATTAGACACAAGTCATGGGATCCATCCAAGCTCAAGGAGCAGGGATTACATAGGGTGTGCATATCAGGAGGTGGAAGTTGAGGAGGTACCTTAGGACCTGTTCACAACATCATTCAAGGAGTTCGCAAACTTGGTCATATATTGAGTCTTTCCTAAACTTCTTTGAGTAAATATAAATGGAGAATGTTAACAATTTTTAATCGAGAAGTAGTAAGATTAAAGATCTCTGAAATTAAAGAAACTGGCCAAGATTGTGTAACTAACCAAAAAAGCTGCAAAGGAAACTGAATCCAGGCCCAGTACTGACCTCCCAACTTTGTTCCTCAGGTGTATGAAATGATTGGAAACTTTAAAGAATATTAAAGTGTGAACTAGTTACTTCCTTTAAAATTCTTCTCAGGGAATTTGAGTGTATTTAAGTGAATTCAGTGACTGACATGATGAAATTGGTCACTTCTATGTGGGTACATCTTTATGAGCACAGGACAGGGATTCCACAGAAAAACAAAATAAAATTGTCATAATCAAAACTACAAAGCACAAAAGGAAATGATTAACCATGAGCAAAAGTCAGAAGAAACCACAAATAGCAGAATTATCAGAATTTGAGAAAATAAAGCAGTTTGAAAGAATATAAGATTTGTATTTCTTAGGAATAGAGGATAGGTCTCTTAATACAAAAACATATGCAAATATCATAATGATGAGAAACTGGCTACTTCCTCACTAAGATCAAGTACAAACTCAGGATGTCCTGTCATCACTTTTATTCACCCCTTGCTAAAAGTTTTAGCTAGTATACTAAGATAAGGAAAGGAAACAAAGGGTATGCAAACTGAGAAAAAAAAATATCAAACTGTCTTTGTTTGCAGGTGACGTTTGTCCATGTGAAAATTCAGGAAGAATCAACAACAACAAAAATCCTGGAAGTAGTAAGTGAGCATAGCAAGTTCACAGAATACAAATCACTACATAAAAGCCAACTGATATCTTACATACAAGCAATGAACAACTGGGATTTTAAATTAAAAAACAACAACAACAACAACAAAGTTTATAATAATAGCCCCAAAATGAAATACTTAAGTACAAACCTGAATAAATATGTATAGTAACTATATGTGAAAAATTCTGTCCAAGGAAAATCTAAATAAATGGAGAGAGAGTCTGTGTTCAAGGATTGGAAGATTTAATAGTTTTAAGATGTGACTTCTTCCTAACTTAGTCCATAGATTTAGTGAAATCCCAATCGAGATTTCAGTAAGCTATTTTGAAGACCTTTACAAACTGATTCTAAAATTTCTATGGAGAGGCAAAAGACCTAAGATAGCCAAAGTGAAGAAGGAGGAGGAGGAGGAGGGGAAAGTTGGAAGAATCACAGTACTCAATTTCTTGACTTTCTGTAAGTCTACAATAATTAAGAAGACAATATTGGCAAAACAATAGCACATAAATCAACAGAACAGAATAGAGTACCCAGAAATAGACCTATAACAATATGACCGCTAACCTTTGACAAAGGAGTAAAGGCAGTTAAATGGAAGAAAGATGGTGTTTTCAACAAACGGTTCTGGAACTATTGCACATCCATATGCAAGCCCTTACACATTTCACAAAAGTAACTTAAAATGGATTATAGACCTATATATAAAACTTAAAAGTATAAAACTTCTGGAAGATAACACGAGTTTGGTCATGAGTTTTTAGATACAACAAAAGGATGATTCATGAAAGAAAAGTCAATATATTGGACTTTCTTAAAATTAAAAACTCCCACTTTGGTAAAGATACTGTTCAGAGAATCAAAAGAAAAGGTATAGAATGAGAGAATGTATTTGCAAAAAGACATATTAGAAGAGAACGTATGTACAAAATATAAAAAGAACTTTTAAAGTTCAAAAATAAGAACACAACCTAATTAAACCATGTTCAAAACGTCTAAATGGACATATCTCCAAAGATAATACATGGACAGTAAATAAGTGTATTAAAAGAATGCAGTATCATTTGGCATTTGGCATTAGCGAATTAAAACAACGAGATACTACTACATGGCTGTTAGGATAACTATAATCTAAAAAACTGACCACGCCAATTGACAGCAAGGACATAGTGCTACAGAAATGCTCTTGTATTGCTGGTAGGAATGCCAAATAGTACAGTCACTTTGGAGGACAGTTTGGCTTTTTCCTTTTCCCACAAAGCTAAAGATAGCTTTACCATATGGTTTGGCAATTTGTGCTCCTAGGTATGAACCCAACTGATTGAAGACTTATGTTCACACAAAAACCCACACACAGATGTTTGTACCAGCTTTATTCATAATCACCAAAAAGTGGAAGTCACTTGAATGTCCTTTGATAAGTTAATGGATAGACCGTGGTATATCCATATAATGGAATATTATTCGGGTATTAAAAAAAAAAAAAGAGCTCTCAAGACAGAAAAGACCTGATGAATCTTAAGTGCATGTTGCTAAGTTAAAGAAGCTAATCTGAAGGGGCTTTTCTTTTTTTTTTATGTCTTTATTTTATTTTGAGAGACAGAGACAGAGAGTGAGCAGGAGAGGGGCAGAGAGAGAGGGAGACACAAGATCTGAAGCAGGCTCCAGGCTCTGAGCTGTCAGCACAGAGCCCGACGCAGGACTTGAACCCAAGGACTGTGAGATCATGATCTGAGCTGAAGTCAGACGCTTAACTGACTGAGCCACCCAGGTGACCCACCCTGAAAGGGCTATTTTAAGATTCCATTTACATGAAATGCTGGAAGAGGTAAATAAGTCAGTGGTTTCCAGAGGTGTGGGTTTAGGATGGAATGATGTGTATGTGGAGAAAGTTAAATAGATGGAGCGTTGGTGAGTTATATATAGTTGTCTAAGTCTACTTGGTCTACTGACACAAAATACTGCAGGTGGAGCAGCTGAAACGACAGGAATTTATTTTTTCACAGTTCTGGAGGCTGACTGCTCAGGAGCAAAGTCTTGTGGGTAGGAATGGCCATTTGAGGACAAAGCAGCTATCTGCAAGTCAGGAAGACAGCTCTCCCTAGAAATCGAACTCTGTGGAATCTTAATCGTGGACTAGATCTGGACCCAGCATCCCGAACTGTGAGACAACTGTTGTTTAAGCCATCCGATCTGTAGAATTTTGTTATGTCAGCCCAAGCAGACTAAGACAAGTATGATAAAAACCATTCTGCATGATATTATGACTGTGGATACATGACACTATTTGTCCAAACTCATAGAACTTTACATCACAAAAAATAACTCTTAGTATACATGAATTAACAAAAATCCCTTTGAAACATTGTTGGATACCAGGATTGAATGCAGAATGGGACAAGACACTCGCACTGTAATCGTATGAATCATGAATGTGTGCATCCATATTGATCCATTAACAGTAACAAATATACTATACTAACATAAGATGCCAGTAATAGGGGAAACTGTGCGCAGGGTATAGGGGAAATCTGGACTATCTCCAGAATTTTTCTGTGAAACCAAAACTGTTCAAGAAATAAGGTTTATTAAAAATAAGTACATGGAAGTTGATTGAAGAGAATAAAAGGAAGGAATAGAAAGCCTAGTGGATTTTTTAAAATCAAGATTAACTGGGAAGATTTAAATAAATTTAAATACATTTTTAGTCTAAAAACATGGTTATTGAACTTAAACCCTGTGGATGGGAGGAGCAACACACACAACATAGATATGGTGAATTTGTGAACCCCAAGATGTAGGAAATTACGTTCACATAGAGAAAGACAAAAAGAGTGAAAAGATTAGAAACAGGTTAATGAGAGGGAGGAGAGAATTAAAACATCGAGGATACATCTAATGAAGTAGAAGAAATGAGAGGGTTGCTGTATTTGAAAAGCCGATGAATGGGAATTTAACAGAATCGATGAAAAATCCCATGAATTATGAGAGTCAGAAAGACTACATTTTGAGCAGAG